TCAAAGTCAGAAGATCATGTTTTGTTTTGAGGTTATGTGTTGTTGGGGGTTGTCAAAGTCAGAAGATCCTTTCCTTTTTTTTTCCCCCAACAGCTGAAAGCTTTGGGGTCTCAGCCCAGATAGGCTCCGGGGTGGTTCGGGGCGACCCTGAGCTAAGGTTCCACCCTGGTTCCACCAGGGGTTCCACCAGGGTTCCCTCAGGGTTCCACCATGGTTCCACCAGGGTTCCACCAGGGTTCCATCAGGGGGGTTCCAGCAGGGTTCCACCAGGGTCCAGTCTGGGGTGGTTTGAGGTAAGGTTCCACGAGGGTTCCACCAGGGTTCCACCAATTTCTTCGCGTTTGAGGAAGGTTTCACGAGGGTTCCGCCAGGGTTCCAGGGTTCCAGGCGGGTGGTCCGGGGTGGTTTGAGGTAAGGTTCCACGAGGGTTCCACCAGGGTTCCAGCAATTTCTTCTCCGAGGTGGTTTGAGGTAAGGTTCCACGAGGGTTCCACCAGGTTTCCACCAGGGTTCCACCAGCCCGTCGTGCTCCGGACGAGGGTTCCACCAGGGTTCCACCAAGTTCTTCGAGGGCGCGGCGTGGTCCGGGGAAGGTTCCACGAGGGTTCCACCAGGGTTTCACCAGGGTTCCACCATGAGAACTCCACCAGAATTCCACCAGGTTTTACAAGGTAAGGTTCCATTCCAGCACAGTTCTAGCAGGGTCGCACGAGGTTCTGCGAGGGCTGCGGGGTGGTCCGGGGTGGTTTGAGGTAAGGTTGTATGAGGGTTTCAGGGTTCCACAAGATTCTGCGAGGGCTGTGGGCCCTGAGGTTTCACAGGGTTCCACAAAGCTCCGCAAGGATTCCACACGGGTTCCAGAAGGCTCCACAATGCTCCACTAAGGGTGTGTCGTGCGCCCGTCGTCTGAAAAGGCATCGGATCAAGATCGCTTTGCTCATGGGCGGAACACTAAGCAAAACCGAAATCAATGGTTTTTAGCACACTTTCACTGTTTTGTGACTTGCTCACTTGCTCAGGCAAATGTTGGCTTTGTGGCAAATCAGATCACGTCGCTGCGGAACTCACGGGGCAGCAGAGTAAATGCTTGGCATTGCTGCTTGGTGGGCTTTGGGTTCCAAGAATTCCACGAGTATGAGGTCAAACACCAAATTCTGCAAAAGCTATGGGGCAGCCCTGAGGAAAGGTTCCAGCAAAGTTTCACGCTGAGCTCCACGAAAGTTGCGTGAGAACACCGGGCCTAGGTCGGGGCCCGATTGCACTGTCGGGGCCTTTGGGCCCGATCGGCCCTGCGCCATCACGCCCCGATCGGGGCCCGACTCAGTCGGGCCCCGTCAATTGTACCAAGCTGGCATCGCCTAGTTTTGGTATAGATACAGTTGCAATCCGCATACTAAGGAAAACCGGCGTTGAGCTATAATATGGGTGGCTGGGGTTGCGCCACGGGACGATCGGGGCCCGATTGCACCGTCGGGCCCCGATCGGGCCCCGATTGCACCGTCGGGCCCCGATCGGGCCCCGATTGCACCGTCGGGCCCCGATTGCGCCGTCGGGCCCCGATTGGGCCCCGATTGTGCCGTCGGGCCCCGATCGAGTCGGGCCCCGTCAATTGTACCAAGCTGGCATCGCCTAGTTTTGCTATAGATACAGTTGCCTTCCGCATGCCAAGGGTCACCGGCGTTGAGCTATAGTATGGGTGGCTGGGGACGATCGGGGCCCGATTGCACCGTCGGGCCCCGATCGGGCCCCGATTGCGCCGTCGGGCCCCGATCGGGCCCCGATTGCGCCGTCGGGCCCCGATCAGGGCGAGATTGCGCTGTCACTCGTAGCTTTGCTTTACAAGGCGGCATCCTCAGCAACACCGGCGGTAAGGATGGTCCCGGGGCGTTCCGCGAGGATTCTGGGAGTTATTTGTTCTCTTTTTCCTCAACAGCTGAAGGGTTCCACCAGGGTTCCACCAGGGTTCCACCAGGGTTCCACCAGGGTTCCACCAGGGTTCCACATGCTGTTGGGGATATCACCTGAGCTTATTTTTTTTGAGGATATCACTTTTGTTTTTGGGGTTATCAAAGTCAGGTTGGTGGACATGAATCCCAAGCTACATTGTGCCCTCCAAGCAGACCCGCATGGGTTGGTCTCAAACTGGGGACCCTCCCTTAAATGGCGGTTTTCCTTTTGAGGATGAGCCCAGAAAGAGTGTTCACCAAAAATGACACCCACATCAACCAACTCATACTGCTCAATATTAGAAACCATGTCTTCCTCGCCACAAATCTTTGCTCCGTCCGATCTCCTTGGGCTCTGATCCCACTGGTGAGCCATGGGGTCTTCCGCGTTTTGAAACGCCATGGGCTTGGCCTTTTGCGCGCGGTGGCCATGGCAAATCTCTCGGCTTGCCGAGAGAAATGCCATTATCGGCTTTCTGCTAGAGGGGCACCCGAAATCTATTTCTTCGGGGGGGAAGGGGGGGCCTCCTACTTTAGGGTTGCTCCGAGCTGGTTCAAGCTGACCAAATCACAAGTGCAATTGGAGCACTTGCCTTGGGTCTGTTGTTGTCCTTAACTGCCCAGTCTTTCCTTCTTTGTGCAAGGGAAGAAAAGAACGACTTGGAGCCCCAGCCCAGGTTTAATCATCAGTTGAACTGGGATGGGGAGAATTGGGGCCTGTCCGTTCTCGGTGGAAAGCGAGGGAACTCCAAAACCAGCCTTTCTGCAAGGGCATCCCAAACGGTTCACTCCAAATAGCCTGCGATCTCCATCAATTCAAAAACCCCAGCACCTGGTTCCTTTCGAAAACGACCCAACAGCACCGTTTTCCTTGCCTGGTTTCCCGTCATGCGCAAAAGACAGAAACCAACAGCACCGTCTCCCTTTTGGTTCTTGCCTTGCGAAACATCCCCCTCAAAAAGAAGAAAAGCAAGCAGCAGAAACAACAACAAAAACAAAAGCAGAACAGCTGGGGATCCTGGTTGTGCGCTTTCGGCGCGTTTTGAAGCTTCCAGTCTTCCCGTGGGTCAAGCTGGTCAGTTTCCAAGCTCCAAGCAATGCAGGCAATGCAGGGGAATCATCTTGACAAGCGCTGGCAAAGCCAAGGCAGACCAGAGAAAACCAAAAAGCAACAACACCTCGAGAACACCTAACCACCAAACATGATTTTAGAAACTCTTTGGCAACCAGCTCATGTTGAAAGAGTTCTCGAACTATTAACTGTTTTTGCATTCTGGAGCTTTCTTTGAACAGAAAATTATATTAAGTTCTAAGAAGAAGCAATGAACAGCATGTTGCAACCATCCGTGTAGAGGGATCCCATTGCGTGATTCAGAACTCACAGTTTCAAAGACTCCCAAGCATGCATACACAAACAACAAACTTACAAATAAGACAGCATCACAAGACCACATCACAAACACATCCGAAGACACAAACACATGCGAAGAAAAAAAACAAGAAAAACAAAAAACACGCATCCACTGCGACAGTTTTTCCCCGGTTTTGCACGGCACCTCGCAGGAGCTGGGCATCGGGGCGCTGCACATCAAGCTGAGGGCCACGGGCGGCACCAAGACCCGGACCCCAGGCTCGGGCCCTGACTCGGGCCCTCGGGGGTGGGGCTGCGAGGGAAGCGAGGGGTTTCGAGGATACCTTCATGGTTGTTGTTGGTGGCAACATTTTACAAGAAACAAGAACAAACAAACAAGAAACAAGTTCGGACTTTTGGTGGCCACTTTTACATTTTTCCAATTTTTGAGCTTATTGTGGTTTAGTGGTTGAAATCCAACGACTTAACTGCTGAAATTTAAATGTTTGCTCCCCTTGCAACGTCAACCAAGAATTTGGCCTTTGAGTGGGCGACCCTCATTTTTGGGCTTGACAAGGAGAATGAGAAGAAAAATGAAAGACAATTCTTTTTGTTGTTGGTAAGATGCAAGTTTTGGGACGCATCTGTATGAGCATGAGTTCGAATTGGGAATCCTTTGGACATCGTTTGGAGCCCTTGAGTTTGTTGGTGTGGGGTGGCAAAATACGGGGGCTGGGACCCCAAATGGTTCTCCCTTTTGGTGTCCCTTCAAGCCAACCAAGAAAGGTTGCTGAGCCTCAAAAACACGGAAGCCCCAATATGTTTTAAGTCTTTTTGAGGCGCACTTTTTGTGATCTCACCGCGCAAAGCAAGGTCCTGGAAGCCAAAAGTTTGGTGGTTTCAACGTATTCAAACAGTTGATTGGCACATATTGTGCATGTGAGGTTCGGTGAACATTACCATTTGGGAGGGCCGTGGGAGACGAGAAGAAGGAACCCAGGGACTTACGAATTAAGCTGGCATTTAGACAAACAACAAGTCACTTTCGTGGTTGGAACCCGTATTTTCCTGTGTCAGGTCCTGTGTCCATTGGGGAAACGCTGCTACTGGAACATGTTTGGACACTGAATCAAAGGAACTCTCTGGTTCTCCCCAGGCAGGCACCCTACTTATGAAACTCTTATTTGGAAATAGGACAGATTCCAGAGAAAGCAAATGGGAATCACTACTCATTTTTGCTATTTTGAGACAAACCCATATGCACCTTTATACTCATGGTGGGGTTCAGACACTTGTTGCTCTGGAGGGAGGGAACCCCCTTTTTGGCTTGGTTTCCAGGGAAACCAACACAAAAGCACCGCTGTTTTCTGGAAGGTGCAGTAGGGAATGCGAGATGGAGTGAACCCGGGGCCCGGTCCTCTTGAAGGAACTCACCAGTTGGATGGTCCATTCCATTTCTCATTCCCTGTGAGACCTTTTCTTTAAGGTTGCCAAGAGTGGTTGCCAAAAAGGGAAACCCTAACAACGGAAACCCAAACAACGGAAACCCCAACAACGAGGAAACCCCAAAACGGAAACCCAAACCGAGGAATTTTCGGAGGACACCCCGAGGTGGTTGCTCCGGTGGGATTTCTCCAGGCCCCGGCGCGCAGAGCGCCCTGCGCGCCCTGGCGCGCAGCGGCATGAAGATCGGCCGCATCGAGGCGGAGGGGGGGTCCTTTAGTTAGAGGTGGCCTCTCCCGTCCGCATTTTGCCATCCGGTCCTAGGGTCCCCCCCACACTTTTGGGCACATTCTGAATACGCCCACTAAAACAGCCCATTTTCAACATTCAAATTCAATCACCCAACCAATCCAACTCCAAAAAACACATATTCACACACCCATCTTCATTTCTTACCCCATCTCAACATCACCCTTACACTCATTCAATAACAACAATCATAACTACATGCCACCTCAACAAATCCCACCAAAAAAATCCAAGCTACATACCAACATGTTTTCATTCCCAAGATCGCAACCCCAAGATCTCAATAATTCCTCCCTTGATCCAAACTGCAACCCTTTCCCATTTCCAACAAATACGAACAGTCTAAAAAAGAACGCTATGTTCGCCCCGAAAAGTGGTTAACCAATGGAAAAGGGAGAACTAAAACCGTTAACCCAAATCTTGAAAATAATTTGTGTGACATTGGATGGCAAAATGCGGATGGGAAAGGCCTATGTAGGAAAGCACCCCCACGGCTTATACGGGAAACGTACAGTATAATTATAACATATAAATGTTTACATGTTATAATTATATTATGAGTTCAACTCTATTTCTAATTAATTTTAAAATTCTGTTATAACTATTTTTATTATTTTATCAGTCGTTTTTTCATTATATATATTATTTCCTATTTCCTTTTTAAACAAGCCCATTGTTATAATTGCATTTATTACCGTATATCTAAGTTCGTGAGCTTTATACTCACAACTTAAAAAATCAAAGTCATTATCATTCAATGCTTCTTTCTTTAAACGCATAATATTAAAAGACATATTGTATAGTGTTTTTGCCAGATTATAATACTTAAAAATAAAATCCTTATCATTTCCTTCCTCATCACCCTTATATAATAAATTTCCAAACTCTTCTTCAGTCAAGAACTTATTCACAAATAAATCTAAATCGTCATCAAGATTTTTAACATTTCTGGTATTAATATATTTGCTATTCATATCATCAATTTCGTTTATAATTTTATTGCAATTATCACATATCATACATTGACAAATATTATCACAAACACCATTCAAAAAACCTTGTTTAATTGGTAATTTTAGCATCTCACAGTCTCTACATTTATAACTCATAAACTTTTCTCTGAATATATTTTTAGCATCAATATCTTCACGGACTGTGTTACTATATTTACTATATTCACTGTCTGCATCACTATATTCACTATACACACTTTCTGTATCACTATATTGACTATTTTCACTTTCTGTATCGCTCATTGTCCTAATATACATATATAGGTAATATTTCTTTAAATACATTTTCAGAGAAATTAAAATTTATAGAAATATTTTTACCACTATAATTACAACATATAAGATCTTACATGTTGTAAGTATAGCAAAACTATGGTATCAAAGGCTTTAATCTATGTATTTCCATGGGTTGTATTCGTTTCTTCTGTTCCTTCCTTAACTCTTTTGTTGCTTTTACTTTGTCTCTGCATTCCTTACATGTTTTGTAAAATATCTCTTCCATTTTAATTCTATCATACATTTTGTGAAAATCCTTTCTTGGCTTTGCTTCGTCGCATTTACTGCAAGGATAAACCATTGTGTATCCTGTTTCTTCTTCGTCATTTGTAGAACTCATAATATTAGTTATGCCAATATGTCTTTAAACGGATTTTCAGAGAAAAATGTGTTCAATCAAGAATAAATCCCTGTATCTTCATCATAGTCGATTTGATAAAATGTCATAGTTGAAGCCTTCGGTTCTTTAATTTCTTTGTTATTAAGTTTGTTTAAATAAATATTTCTTTTATTTTTATATTCACCATTGGTTCTATCTACTTCTTTACTTTGATAACTGTTTGTTAATGGTTTCTTCTTTTCCATTTCTTGTAAGATTTCTAAAATATTCTTATTCTGTTCTAAAACCTTGTTCAGTTTTTTAACCATCTTTTCTAATCCTTCATCCATGTAAATATATATATAATATTATAAAATAAAACTTTTAAAACTAAATGTTTAAATTATGTTAAATCTACTCTTTAAATACTAATTTTTCATCATTTGTTTAACAGTTTCCTGAGTTTCCTTATCGCCATTATCGGATGGCGATGCATGTCTTCCCCATTTGATAGCAATATTATGAACATCTGTTTCTAAGTTGATACTTTCTTTGGTTTTATCAATATTCATTTTCTTATCATTTTTACTTATTTTGAAAGTTGTGGGAAAACACGAACATTTACAGTTTCCTTTCTTTTGTATTTCTAATTCATTTTTCATTTCTAACATCTTTTTACACATTGGACAAGCAAACTCAATAACTGATGTTTCTTTAACAACTTCTTCTTTTTCTTCATCAGTTGAAGAAACAACTGGTTCAGTCTTATTCTTTTTCTTTCTTCCCATGTATATTAATATTTACATTTTTATTTTTGATATATTGTATCACAAACTTAATTAATTCTAAAATAAAATAACATATTTTTTTTACATCTATTATCAGTTATAACAACTTGTTCTATATTCTCTACTTCATCTATTATATCAATATAATCTGAATAGCTTCTATTCATATAAAATAATAAATATAAAATATTTTCTAGATAACTTTAATATTATTTTATTATGTCAGATGTTCCAATAATAAAACCAATAAACATAACTGAATATGAATTCAAACAATCTAAATATGAGCACGTGCCAAAATTACCATTTAGAAGTATTATAGTTGCTTCATCGACGGGAGGCAAAACAGTTTTAGTCCAGAACCTTATCTTAAATGTTTATAGAAATTCATTTGCAAGAATGTTCATATTTTCCCCCAGCGTTCATAATGACCCAACCTTTACAGAAGTTAAAAAATATATCAGGGATGAATTGCACGTGGATGATGAAAAAGAACAAATTTATTTTGATAATTATAATCCAAGTGATTTAGAAAATGTAATTGAAAAACAGAAGAAAATAATCAATTTTATGAAATCTAAAAAGATAAAGAAACTACATTCAATATTAATCGTTATAGACGATCATGCCGACGATCCTAAATGTGTTAGATATAGTAAATTATTACATGGATTATTTACAAGAGGTAGGCACGATGCAGTAAGCGTAATTTGTTCAACACAGAAATACAATGTTTTGGCGCCTATCATTCGTTTAAATGCCAGTTCGTTATATATTTTTAGGTTGAAAAATGCCAGTGAATTAATGAGTTTTATTGAAGACAATAGTGCCATTGTTGATAAACAGCAATTATTAGATATGTATCATCAAGCCGTTAATTTTGCTCCATATTCTTTTTTCTACGTGAATATGAATTCAACAGACATTAACAAAATGTTTCATATCAATTTTGAACAGGCATTTCAAATTACAAATGATGAATAAAGATATTCTAATTTAATATAATATAATAATATGCTAATGAAACTATGTAGATGTGGTGGATTTTATCGTAGAGGTAATTACAGTTTTCATACTAATTCTTGGATACATAAACTTTATAAAGTGTTAAAAAGACGACCAACAGACGAGGAATTATTAAGATTTCAAAATAATTTTGTTGATGAAGAAGATTTAATAGATGATATGTGTAGCAACGCCTCAACAAAATTACCCGAAAGTGAAATGACAGATTATGATAGTAATTAATAATATTAATGTATGTTAATATTATCAATTTAAAATAATGAATAATTACATAATTGAACAGGTAATTTATATATTAATTTGTCAGATTTTTCTTTTTCTAATTTCTCAATTCGTGCCACACATTCTTGAAGAGATTTAATAATTAAAGTGTCTGCTCGTGTTTTTTCATCTATACTTAAAACCTTAATGTCTTCCAAACTATTAGTTTCATTATTTTTACTTTGAAAAGCACCCATTATATATAATATTATTTAGATTTTAATTTTTCAAAATTACATTTTTGTTTTTATTCTCCGTCTTCTTCTTCGTCTTCAGTTGGTGCTGGTATTTCTGTTGGACTTTCAGATGAAGAACTATGAACAGTAATAGGTGGAGAACTATGAACACTAACAATTTCATTAGAAGAACTACTGCTACCTTGTGCATTTCCTGCTGTTATTTGATTAACTAAATCTGCGATATTTATTGTTGTTGCAATTGCGCTATGTGATAAGTTTAATATTATATCTGCTACTGTAGCGCCGTTGTGTAGCATTATTTCTATCATTTTTGTCAGTTTGAATCTTTTTTCTTCTTCATCGCTGTCCTCCTCGTCTGGTGGTTTCTTTGGCGGTGGTTCTGGCGGATTGTTGTTGTCAAGCATTGTAGTAAAGGCTGACACCATTGCGTCGCGTTGGTTTTTCAGGGTTTGTGTTGCTTGCGTTCTTGTTGGTTCATGTCTTTTGTATGCGTTGTGCCAAAAGTTTTTAAGCATTATTTTAAACATATTGTCTTGGTTTTCCTTTACCTTAAACGCTTCAAATGTCATATTTAATTGCTGATTTGCATCATTGTATAACTTTTCTTGCGTCTCTCTGGTTTCTGTTGCAATTGTATCTGTATTGGTTGCAGTGTCAATAAATTCTCTCGGTATGCCTTTTTTCATCATTTTCGGTGGTTGTATTGTTGTTGGTGTGTTTGGTTTTGTTAGGTTATGTATTGAAAAACTGTCGTCGTGATCATAATTATCATTGAACTTCTGCTTCTTTCTTTTCAGTATATTTTTAGTTAATATTATCATTATTATTGTTATTTTTATTTTTATTTCTTACCTTTACCCTTAACACCTGTCTTGAGTTCTTCTATTCTACCTTTGCTTAAATTTGCTATCCAACCGCCGTTATCAATAGTGTCTAAAATCATATCCACTAAATATTCTTTGTATGATGTCGCCTTGCCTCTGCCCTTGTGTTTCAATTCTTCCTGTATTTCGCTTTCTTCTGGCACTTGAATTCCTCTTAAATAAATCTGAAATTTAATATCATTTA